GTCTCCTGCAGCCTTTCCTCACGGGAGAGATGCTCCAGTCCCCCCATCATCCTCGTAGCCCTCCGCTGGACTCTCTCCAGTAGCTCCTCATCTTTCTTGAACTGGGGAGCCCAGAACTGGATGCAGTACTCCAGATGGGGCCTCACAAGGGCAGAGCAGAGGGGAAGGAGAACCTCCCTTGACCTACTGGCCATACTCCTCCTAATGCACCCTAGGATTCCACTGGCCTTCTTGGCAACCAGGGCACACTGCTGGCTCATGGTCAACTTGTCACCCACCAGGACACCCAGGTCCCTCTCCGCACAGCTGCTCTCCAGCAGGTTTGCCCCAAGCCTGTACTGATGCATGGGGTTGTTCCTCCCCAGGTATAGGACCCTGCATTTGCCCTTGTTGAACCTCATCAGGTTCCTCTCTGCCCAACTTTCACACTGAATGGCAGCACGGCCTTCTGGTGTATCTACCACTCCTCCCAGTTTGGTGTCATCAGCAAACTTGCTGAGGGTACATTCTAACTCTTCATCCAGGTTGTTGATGAAGAAGTTAAGCAAGACTGGGCCCAGTACTGACCCCTGGGGCACACCACTGGTTACCGGCCTCCAACCAGACTCCGCGCCGCTGATGCCGACCCTCTGAGTTCTGCCACTCAGCCAGTTCTCAACCCACCCCACCGACCACTTGAGCGATGTTCTGCTGTGATAGCTGTAAGCCTTGAAATGCACGTTGACAAATCACCAAACCAAACCTCAGAGTATCGACATCCTGCTGAGCAAACGAGCACGAATCCTTCCTGCTTCGTGCTGGACCAGCATGACCAAATGAGAAAAGAAACTGATCCACAACGCGGAGGAAAACTACGACCTTCATTCTCACGACCCCCAGAGGGACCAGGATGACCCCCTCGCAACAGTACGTGCAGCCGCAAAAAAAATATACCAGGATGTGCCACATAGAGCCCGGAACCACTAAACTATAAAGAGAGACTCTGCTGGGGGGTGGGGTGCGGACCGTTGGCGGAGCAGGAGGCTCCCCGGCCGCCCAGCGCTGTTTTGCCTGCTTCATCGCTTGCTTAAATAAATTCTATTGCTAATAAGTTCACAACTGATTAATTAACAATTGGCTGCTCAATTTCAATTCGTCACGGAGGGCGAGCTTCTATAACAGGTATAAATGTTTTACAATTTATTTTTTTGAATATTACAAACTGTGTTCTAGCGTTTGCTGCTGAGCCGGTGTTTCAGCGAGGGCAAGGGCCGGAACGTCACGCAGGGGCTGATGCAGCGCAGGTCACTGAAGCTGCTGCCGCGAAGCCTGCCTAGCTGTATGGTCTTCCCAGCTGATGTCAGGGTGGTTGAAGTCCCCCATGAGAACCAGGGCCTGTGACTGTGAGGCTGCTTGCAGCTGCCTGTAGAAGGCCTCACCAATTTCCTCCTCCTGGTCAGGTGGCCTGTAGTACACACCCACCGTAATGTCACCCGTATGAGCCTGTCCCTTAATTCTAACCCATAAGCTCTCAACTCGTTCCTCATTTGCCCCCAGGCCAAGCTCAATGCATTCCAGTTGCTCCCTCACATATAGAGCAACTTCACCACCTCTCCTTGTTGGCCTGTCTTTCCTAAAGAGTCTATAGCCATCCATGACAGCATGTCCCATGGGTTTGGGGCACATCTGGATACAACTGCCCCCAATCCGACTTTTCAGTCGATCAGATTCGAAAGTACAGGGCTGAGTAACTCTAGTGCAGCTAAGAAATGGGGTTTATCAGCTCAGGCGCAGTCCCACAAAATACGGTTGTGTAGTTCTAGCTGGTACATCCGCGTGGGCTGGCAGTAGGTGGCATGGCTTACCAAACACGGAAAGTCTCACTGGGAAGCTTGGCAATGCTTGCAGTTATACCCTTTCAACTTATTTTCTTACCAGACAGGGAATTAAAGGAACAGGTTTTGATTCTCTACTGTACATGCAACATAAATAAACCATGAAAGTGCTAGCCCCAACACCAGTCTGCCCCGCACAATTTTCTTCCATCCCAATTTCTAGCATATAGCAGCAAAGGGACCATATGCATACCAGTTGAAGAAGCGAAGGAGATCTAGTTATTTTGTACTTCAAAGTACTCCTGAGTAAGCAACTCAGAGGCTGCTGTATATTAAAATGGCTCTGATTATGCTAATTTATACTGGTAGCCACACTAGACTTTGGGCCAGCAGAGAGAAGCAAAGACATTTCTACCTGTAGTTTCACTCCTGCTCTGTGCTCTGCAGAATCTAATCTCCTTAATTTGAATATTGAACAAATCCAGAATTACTGGAAACATTTTTCTCTCTTTTACTTTTGAATACTAAACTTTAAAGAGACTCGTCTGAAAAACCTGACACATCTTGGTCTGTCAGCGTCTACTGATGGATCTTGAAAAGGGAGCTTGGATTAGCAAAGCAGCACCTTTGTGGGCATTTTCAGGCCTCATACCATCTCAGTACAGACACAGAAATCACAGGGTACTGATGGAGGACTAGCACACCTGACTACCAGAAAAGCTCTGCAGTTATAGAGCACTCTCTTTTGATTTCACATCTTCCAGAAAAAAGAATGTTTCCCAAGGAACAATGATGTCAAGCATCTGACAAGACCACTGTAGGTTGTTTCTCTTCTGTAAAGTCTAGAAACAAGTGGCTATGCTCCTTTGGGTCTCTACCATACAAAGCACTAGGTTACTTGTACAGTGTGCTTGGTGGAGTGTATTTCTTTTCTTTTACTTTCTGCCCAAAGTTGAAAAGTGGGAGTGACCTAACCCTGGCTGATGAATCACTCCCTAAAAATTGTGCCTGATTGACCAAGATTTGTAAGGAGACAATTAAAAATTTTAAGCCATTAATCAATGGAACGCAATGAAGTGTTGAATCCTTCTTTAAAAATTGTACTGTTGATTGCAATTAATATATCCTAGCTGGAAGTGAGAAGGAGAATAATAACTTCGCATTTACTCTTTCTGGTTTTTGTCAGACTTCTTCAATCTCTCAATTTAAATGGGTGTCTTATACACAGCAGGCACAGAGGATGGTGTACAAGAAACCCGCAAGGGTCCATTTGTTGAGTCAGGTTTTATGACAACAAAAACTTCTAATACCAAGATTAAGAGTACATATGAAGCTTTTCTATAAGAGAAAACCCACTGTTCTCTTCTAGCTTCTCAACTCAGATACACTTTAGAAATTGCTAATAACCTGTCCCTCTGCCTCATGGGACAAAGCTATGAGGTATTTTCCACCCTTTCACTACTTTCACACAGCCATTTATGAAAAGAAAAATGGCAAGGAATGGAAGAAAAAAGTATCTTAAATGATATTCTGACTCCAGCATTCACAAAATAAACATCACAGCTGGAAAAAAAATACCTAGGCTTTATTAACAAGCAATCCTAACCTGAATTGAAAGAGATACAATCCCTATAATTCTAGCATGAAACCTCTTAGACAGAGCGATGCTACCAGTGACACAATATTTTGATGCAGACCTGCATTGGCTAGGGGTATGAACTCAGAGGATCTTGCCTAAACTTCAGTTAACACTGCCCAGAAATTACTTGGACTTCTTTCTGAGTCTCAGTCTCAGTTGAAATCAACTAGTTAAAGCATCAAAATAGCCACAGAGTTTGAACATTGATCAGTGGATATTTAACTTCAGTGGACACTTTGCTTTAGATAGATTTAGATTTACTCTGAAGTACAATTATAACAATTTTTTTTACTAGCAGCTTCTAAAGGCCTTCATAAACTGCTGTCTTTTAACCGAAGGATAAGAAACTCTGGCACAGAGAGGGAAGTGTTTCAGGCATGTGTAGCATATCGTTGGCACATACAGTAAATCACCAGTATTAAGGGTAAAAGCCAGGTCCTTTCATTCCCAGTCCAGAAACCTGTATGTTATGCTTCATGACTGAAGCTTGAAACAAAACTAGCTGATTCTCTGTTTTACTATCTTTGCTTTACCTGCATCAAGATCTTTTTTAAATAAGGAGGGAAAAGAACTTGCTACTGTCTTTTTCTCCTCAGAGACACAGAACTAGAAATATTTGCAATGTAGCTATGATGCTGCGCATAAGGATCCAGCGTCAGCCACAGATTTGAGGACTTGGCTGAGTTCAATGACTTTCTGGGTTTCAGCAAACTCTAGACTCTGTAGCATGCAAAGACTATGGAAGACTCAGACTACAGCAGCCAACTTAAGCAGTCTTTCTTGCTGCCCAGCCCCACATTTTTAAAGAAACATAATGTACAGCTCTCACTAAACTGCAAACAAACAGCCAAGACATACCATCAAAAGCTGCCTTTAATTCCACACAAAACCACTTCTTCATAAATAATCTCTTAAAGGAAGCTGCAAGCATTTGATGGAGCTAATATACTTATCCCAGTGATTTTTTCTGACTCATATTTTGACTCCTCTGTCATAGTGGCTGCTTGTGGAAAGATAAAATTCTTTCTCATTGCTTTTACCTCTTCACAGTGCCAGGCAGGGGAGTTTCCTGCATTTGTATGTCCTACGCGTATTTTGTAGAGATGTCCTATGTTTCCAGTATTAACCTGTAACAGAAACACAACTGATGAAAGATGGAACATTTGTTAAAAGAACAAGATATGCAACAGAAATTAATGTAGTAACTGTCAGGTGACATTTTTGTTTAGAGGAATTAAATGTTCTGATATTTAGACAAGTATTTTCAAAATATTTTGCTCCAGATAATCATTAGGAGCTTGGGACTTTTAAAGGACAACCCCCAAAAAACCTCTTGGCCTGCCAACCCCATTTAAATGGCTTCAGGATGCTGCTGTAACTATTTTGTTCCCCACTGAAAATCGGCCTCAGTGGGAGATGAATACAGACTGCATGTATGACTAAATAGCAAATGTATCTTGACCCTAAAACATTGCTCAGTTCAGCATCTTTACCACTGACCTGCTACAAAACGATTTCTGTCTCACAAGCACCTCCCACATACCTCTGAGTTTCTCCCCACCCCTCCAGGAGGGTATGCCTTACAATTGTGGAAACAATTGTGTTCAGCTTTGATGTTTCTTTTTACAAATCATTTCAATTAAATCAACTTAAAAAGCTGTCTTTGAAAAACTAGCTCTTGGGCAGGCTGGATGAGTGTGTCCAGCACAGATAACAGAGTGCTGAGGGAATAACTTTATGTGAAGGTTATTCAAATGACTAGTTATGAACTTAAGTGTAGCAATAGAAAGCTTATTCTTAAGGAACTGGAAACACACCATGAGTGTCTTCCCTTGTTGCTATATCATTTTTATTCTTATTATGTAGGCTGGATTTGCTGTCCTTCTGTTGTTTTCTGTAGAATTATTTTCACGTTTTCATTTACAGTGTAGAAGTGTGTATGAACTGAGTTCCCCATATCATAAACTTCCCTGAACTCATAAGACTGAACTCTCAACAATGAACTCAGTGTTATAAACAATAAAGAGACAGAGCAGTGAGGACAAACCAGAGTTAACTGAGATTTAGCAGACAGCACAAGCAGAGAGGCTTTTCTCTTTCTATATGTTTTAGAGTAGGCACTCTTTAATTGTATTCAGTGCTATGGATACTTATCCAACAGGGGAATCCTAGTTCCCAAATCTAGGACTGCCTCTGTATTTTACATTTTAAAGTGATTGGAGGTGAAATTAATTGCAGTCATGGGAGCAGGAAACGGCCAATAACATCTATTGCGAAGAGGGTATTTTTATCTGTCAGGCACCTAGTTGCTTATTTTATCTACTCCTTTCAGTCTTATATCCGGGTTTTTTTGATATCACAGATGGAGCATGGAATGCAGTCAGAGGTGCTGGATTCTTCTGAGAAACTATCAGACTGAAGAGGGCTGAGAACAGCATTTCCTACACCCCAAGCTAGCTACAAGGCTATTGTGAAAAAGGTGAGCTCTCCACCAACGCTGCCATTCAGTATCTTTCCTCAGTAGTGGACTTGCTGTGCTGGATACTAACAATGGAAGCACCTGGTTGTTATACAACCCTATAGCTGGCACCTGCTAGAGATGCCCA